GTAAGGCTTGCGCAAGGACTTGCCCGGGGAGCCGCAGAGGTAGTCCAACGCCGGCTCGTCTCTCCGGGACCCGTTTTGCGCCAGCTCCATGCTGTGCAGCAGAGCTTCCAGCTTCTTGTTCTGGATGTTGATGTCGATGAAGTACTTCTGGATCCCCTTGTCCTTCTCCACCAGACTGTTCTTCATGGTTTCCACCACCTGCCTCAGCTGCTTGATTTCCTTCCTGGCTTCCTTCAGGGCCAGCTGGGCTTCCACCCGGTGGCACTCCTCCTCAATCCAGTCCTCCCGCATGCGACCCAGCTGGGCCTTCAGCTCTGCAGATTCCACCTCCCTGTGAACAAGTCACAGCTCGTCACTGGCAAGTACAGCCTGCGGTCGGATCCCCACATCCGACCGACTTTTGTAACAGTTATGGGACATGTCCAACAAGAAATGGATTTTAACACTTAAACACATAGAATATCCTTAACAATACAAAATACGTGCACGCTTTCCTGTATTTTTATAATGATTAAGATATGGCACAAATTATCCTTGATCTGTTCTTTTCCCAGCATTATAATGGAGATTGCTTTTAGATTTAATCAATATTAAATCATTAATTTCAGCAGACGAATGGGATACTCAAATTAGAACAAGTACAAGTAGCATAAAAGAGAATGACGCTAGTCTTAAATAGTCTTGTACCACAATGAGTTTTGCACTTGTATGGATGGGGGCCATGTACAAATGCCATGGAGCCCCACACGTTAAAGAGAAATATACCTTTCGCGAAGCTTAGTTTCCGAATCCTTCAGCTTGGTTTTAAGGTGTCGAATGGTGACCTCTTTCTGCTGAAGCGGGGTGAGGTATTGCTCAGGGTTTGGCGGCTTAACGCCATGGTTGTCCCCACAAGACGTGTATCGAACGCCGCTGGATCTTCTGTAACTTCAAATTAAAAAACAAAAGATACCACTTCACCACCCTGGAATTTAAATAGGAATTCCAAACTTATCCTACATTTAAGATCTAGAAGTTGTCCATGGGGAAATAATTGCAGAATCAAAATCTATCGGAGTTTATTTCATGAAAATGTTTGCACTGCCTACAATGAGGTGCCAGTGTCTGTATCCAAAAGGGGAGAGAGCAGAGGCCGATTTTACTAAAAGACGGAGAGGTGGCCAAGACACTCGCATGATTTCTTGGCACACTCAGCACATTTGCTTTCAGCAGGGTGGAGGTCTTCCTTATGGCTTGTTTTGATTAAAGTGCACTGCTGGAGCTCTTAAGAGGAGGCACGCACAATTTCAAAACTTGCCAAGGCTACAGCTACGCGACCATCCCTCATCAGCTAGCCCAGAGCGG